ATAGATGATGGATGGAATAATGTTATATATAAAGAATCAAAAAAGATTAAAGAAATAATTAAAAAACGTAATATTGTATAATTTCTACTCTGTTGAAGAATGTTGTTAACGTTCGAAACGTCAGTGAATATATTTATTTTGTACGTTTTTGACATCTAATTTATTGTATTTATTTATATTTTATCAATAAATTATCAAAATATATATTTGATTTTGATTTTGATTTAATAAATTATAATTGTTGATTGAAAAAAAAAGGAAGAGATAAAGTTATTATTTAAATATAAACAAAAAGATTTTCAAAATAGAAAAAAACAAGAAGTAAATTAACTTGTTCATAATCTGTGATAAAAACAAGTGATCGAACACTTTAAAACGAGCAAAAATATTTCCAGAAAATAATTTCATCCAAGTATCATCATCATAAAAACTAATTTTCTTTTCTGAATATTTTCTTCTATATTGAAATAATAAATTATCAATTTCTAATTAACTTGAATTATAATTTAATATAACATCCTGAAATGATAGAATTGTATCTGTTAATAATGCCGATTCATTCATTCATTTGAAAAGATTAAGAAAATCTTTTTTTTTTCTTTTTCGTCGAATTACTTTTAGTCTTAATAATGTTACAGTTGGAGTATGTATACATAATCTTATTGATAATGCTTTTCTCTTGTTTTTCCAATATTTTAATATTTATTCAATAAAACGAATGATTTTTGTTGAAAACATAATCAAAACGAAGAGCATCAATTATCATTAATATTACAGGACAATCAGATAAACCTAAAGAATTTTTATTAATCAAATCATCAAATTTATTTTAAATTTTATTATTCAAAATAAGATTCATTAAAAATTTGATTTAATGATGAATAAATTAAGAAATAATCCTTGCAGAAACAAAAGAATAAATCGTAAACGTTAGATTTTTTTCAAAAAATTTCCCCAACTAGAAAAATAAAAAGAAACAAAGTTTTCTTATATAGAATAGATATTTATGATAAAGAAACGTCATCGAAATAGATCTACTTAAAATAAATAGCGTGATATAAAAAACAATTCGTTCTATTGATCTTCGATCGACTCTTGTAATTTTGGTACTTGTTTTTATCGTAAACAATTTAGCACACAACTAAGCCAGATGATATAAGTTTCCAGATTTTATATTATTCATTCTTTTTAAAAAATAACCAAATTTTCTCCTTCGTGGTTCAAAAGTACTCATCGAGTAACTGTTTGATAAAGAGCTCAGCGAAATGTAACGGGAGAACATTCCAGTAAAGCATTACTTCGCTATCTAATGAATAATGGTGTAATGAATGTACGCGAAGCAACAAAACAGAACACATGGAAAGAAGTGAGGAAGAGAGAAACGAAACATGAAGAAAGAGAAAAAAAATTAACAACACAGAGGCATGGGGCTTTTTGTAGAATCTAGTACCTTATGATTTTTCTTCACATGGAACAAAAATATTTTTGGAAATGTTCATAGATTCAAAAATTTCCTCAAATCTAAAAAAAATTTCTCCAAGCGTACATTTCTGCACGTCTGATCCATAAGCACTAGTCTTGCACCTGAAAACAGAAGTGACTAAAAAATCTACTTAATAGACACTTGTGAAAATTTGTATTAGTGGTTTAATATACAACAGATGCTGCTACTAGAATATGCCAACATGAGGACGAAATTTTAGATAGCTGTTGCCTTTCTTAACATCATGTCTTAATCGATCATTGAGTCGAAGATCTAATAAATTCCAAAATAAAACTTTCAAATTCTAGAGACAAAAAAAATACTAAAAATTTGCGTTAGACGAAAAAAAAAACATTTATGTCACAATAAATAACTAGCGCCTTCTATTGTCTCTATTTTCTTATTGGAGTATTTATGTCATTTAAAATATAACTTATATTTCTGAATCACACAAGTAATTTAACTTGTCTGTCTCTCTCTGTTCTTCTTCTTATATGTTTTGTCCATATATATATATATTCTTTGTTTAGAATATTTTACCAATAAGATTGTTTGTTGTAGTTTAGCCATAAATTATTTGTTTATTTTTTAGAATTTCCATATTTGTTTTAGTCATTGATATTTCATAAGATTTTAAACAAAAGAAAAAAAAATCCCACTATTTAAATGTAGGATTAAATCATTTTAATATACGTGCAACAATGAAAAACATTTTTATTATCAACATATTATTACATAAGAGACATGCATTCTTGACTATAGTCTTTATCATTAAGTTCAAAAACGTGCTTATTTAAGAAGACATGAACAAAATAATTTTTACTATTAGTATATACATTGTTTGTTAGTAATAACATACGACAGGTAAGTTAATTGAGCAATAGCATGAAAGAAAAAAAAAAGAATAATCTTACATGAGAAGCGAACGTTGATTGGGATTTACTGTCTACACAAGATGAACTTTATTTATGGCTTTATCTTCTTTTTTTGACGGATGCATGTTCTTATTTTGTCTGATGAAGAAAACATAAATAAACATAGAATTTTTTTGACTTTTGTTTTTAGATCATTTTTATTTTATTTTCGTTTTTTTTTTTTTGTAAATGGAATCCGTCAATCCTCATGTACCATCTGTAGCATTATTTGTCACGGTAAATTTTTATATTATGATTTAAATAAATAAATAAATAAACATTTATTGTAGCGATCGGAAATTGATTTTTCTCATCGTTCACCAAGTCCAATATGTCAACGATGGTTTATGGTTTTATATCTTAAATCAGAAGCTAAAGAACTTGCATTAACCGTATGTTGTTTTGTTTTTTTTTTCTTAAAAAAGAAGTTGAATAAAAATATTGTAATATATATTCTTTATTTTTTTAGGTTTATCCAGTAAATATGAAAAATCCTGAACAAGAATTTAAAAAAGCTTATAATTCAAGTCCACCTGTTGTTGTATTTGATGAAACAAATGATAAATCATCACAAGTTGTTCTAACTGATAATCGTGATATTGATGCTGAAATAAGTAAACGTTTTCCTGTTACAAATATGAATTCATTAAAAGAAGCTGAAGATGTTTGTTCAAATATTTATATTAAATTTCATCCATATTTAAAATCACCAATAGGTGATCCTCAAGAACAAATTAAATTACGTTCATTATTAAGTGAATTAAAACGTATAAATGATTATCTTGAAGAAATGGGTACAAAATTTTTATCAGGAAATGAAATGACATTTGTTGATTGTGACATTATGCCTAAATTACAACATATACGTATTGCAGGAAAATATTATAAAAATTTAGATATACCAAATGAATTTCATGCTTTATGGTCATATATGGAACGTTGTTATCAAACAAAAGCATTCCAAGAATCATGTCCATTTGATCAAGATATATTAATGCATTATGAAGGAAAACTTGGTGCAAATAATAAACCATTTGGTAAAACACCAACATTACAACAACCAACAATGACATTAACAAAACCAGGACATGAACACAGTGAATGAAAATCCAAAAAAGCAAACAAACAAATCAAAACATTCTCTCTTTTTTTTTGTGTATAATTTTGGTTTATCCATCAATCTCATTCTTTTTTTTTCTTTTTTTTGCGCTATTGTTAGCTTTTTATATCTTGAAAAAACGTTGAATGATTGATATTATGATGAAATTGCCTGAAAACTGGTCATATAAAAACGTTTAATCTTTTCTTTGTTGTTTGTTTTTTATTTTATATATTTAGATTTTAGATCAAAATTAAAAAGGAATATAAACAAATATCATGGAAGAAGCACAAGAAAAAGATATGGTATTTATTCAATTTTAATTTTATCAAATTTAAGTCAATAGTATTGATCTATGTAAAAATTATTTGACTAGAGGCAAACTGTTTTTTTGGCGCTAGGACAACTCTCATTGCTCGGACAAAATCTTGCAAGATTTTATTCTACAATATATTTGCACATCACCAATTAATTTTGCAAAAAGTGTGAAGAAATTCTATAGTTTCTAAAAACAATTGATACATTTACAAAATTCAAAAAGATTCTTCGTAATTATCCTAAGTGATGGATACCAGCGCCCTGGTTCTAATGGCTTTCCGACAGGAATCGGGTAGAGGATCCTGGGAGGTGTCATTGACTTCGGCAACTGGAATACGATGCTAGTATGGTCGATCGGACATACTAGAGAAGTTTTTTGTATGAAAATTGTTTTAGATTCTGTCAACGCATTGTAAGGTTTGGGTAAAATTGCTTCGGAAACGCTTTCTTTTGCCAACATTATCTAAGAAAAGTTCTAGTAAGATTTTTTTGAATATATTTGTAAATGTGTCAATCATTTTTAAATAAGCTACAGAATTTCTTTATATTTTTTTTCTTCACGCATCGTCTTGGTTTTTCTACGAAATCAATTGGTGATCTGCACATGTATTGCAGAATAAAATCTTGAAAAACATTTTATTCTGTGATGAAAAGTTCGGTGCAAGTCTTTAACTATAATGAACTTAACGAAATCTGATATTTTCATGGTTGTGTTACGAGAAGACTGTGACTTCAGATTTCAGTCATCTTTGCAGAATTCAACAAAGAAAAAAGTTTGCATCCGCTTACTTCTTGTTCCGAAATCTACTATTGTCATTCATTTGATTTCTCTATCAAAACTTTTTTTTTGAGCATGTTCAAATTTTTCAAAAAATATCGATTTACTTCTCGTTAACAACATGACGAAGTACAAATATTCAAACGATAAAATTCTCTTATAACCAAATGAAAAGTTCAAGACCAATTCCAAATAGTACAAATCCTCTCTAGAAAAAGTTTTTTTTTTTTTCAAGTCTCATCTTGCTAAAAGTTTTACTATAGATACGAGTAATACCCTAGAGTTCATCCTGAAGCTTTTAAATGTTTTTTACGATTAGACAGTCATTCGCTAATTAATTTTTAATTAATAATTAGCTGAAACAGTCAACACTTTACATATGTCTATACTAAAAGAATTTATTCAGAAAAATATTCTTTCTAAAAAATCAAAATATGTCCTGTTTTTGCTTGAAATAGTCTATAAATTAGTTGAGATTTAGAATAATAAATTATTTTCTTATTGTAATTTTAGGATGCAGTTGCTAGTTTTAAAAGTGGTAAATCTTTATCAATAACTGGACGACAAGATAATATATGTTCACGACTTCAAATGATTAATTTACTTGCTTCATCAAATCGTTATGGTTATATATTTTATGCTACAGAATCTGATGGTCTTGTTATAATACCATCAAAATATATTGATCAAAAATCATCTTATTTAACTAAATCATCTGATGATGATGATGATAATGATGATGAAAATCAAAATCTTGAAAAAAATTCAATTATTCATCGATCATATATGCCAACTCAAATGATAAATAAAAATTCTTTAATTATACCGTATTGGTTATCATTAAATGCAGATGATTCTATTCTTGCTATTGTTCTTTCACAATTAGATACACAAACATGGTATATTATTTTCTATGATGTTGTCAAATTAATTCAAAGTGTAATTAAAATAACAACAAAACAAAAGAATTGTTTTTTGTTTTAAATTTTTTTTTTTTTTTTTATTTATTCTAGCCAGATTCAACACCAATTGGTACACCTATTAATTTATCAAATAATTCTATTGGTGATACAATTATACATTTTACATGGAATCCAGCTATTCCAAATATGTTTGCTTATATTGATGGAAATGGATCAGTTTCAACATTTGAAATCGATCAAAATTCAAAACAATTAAAATCATTAGGCAAATGTGATGCAAATGATGATAATTCATCAAGTATATGAAAATCTTTTTTTCTTTTTGTTTTGTCCTATATTATTCATTATTTTATAGTTTGTTGGAGTCCAAAAGGAAAACAAATTGTTGTTGTTACATATGATGGTGTTTTAGAATTATATGAACCAAATATGAAATTAAAAAAAAAATATCCATCAGCTATTTCTGCTAATTCATTATTTCCTCCATGTATTAGTGTACTTTGGTTTTCGACTCATCAATTTTTACTTGGTTTTTCAGAAAATAATCCAGATGAAAATACAAATGATAATTCATTTTTTCATATTATGGTTACATATGATAAAGTAAGAATAAATTATTAAAAACAAAACAAAAAATTTATTTATTTTAAAAAGGATCAACTTGTTAGAACACAAATTTATAATGATCTTTTTTTTGATGCTTATGAAACACCAATTAATATTAATTCACAATATTTCTATGTACGAATAAATGAAAGGTATAGAAATTTATTTATGTATATGTATATTATTTTATTAATTGAAATTATTTAGTAAAATTATCGTATGTGGTCTTACGAAATCATTAAAAATTCATGTACTTGGTTCAGATGAACTCAATCAGGTTTGTATATATATATATTGCTTTAATTTCTCTAATGAATTCATTATTTCATACGCGTATAGTTTAGTTGTAATTGTTAAGATATTCTGTTGTTTCTATAGTAGATCGATCAATAGAATTTAAAAATCATATTCTATCGTATGTTTTTCGATATTCTACTAAACTAATAGAAATATTTAAAAGAAAAGGTTTATTTTTTTTTGAAATCTGATGACAAATAGCATATGATTTTACAAATACAAAAAGCATAATAACAACAAAAAAAGTAAATGAGAAAAAAATGAATATAAAGACATAGATAATGATGTATATTTTGATTTAATTTGTATATGTGATGATATTGTTGTTAATAAAGAAGTTTTTATTTTTCTATCTTGACATAAATTATTACATTGATTAAATGATGAACAATTTAAATAATTTTCTAATTCATGTAAATGTATAAATTTATTATCATATTTAAAAAGACAAACTTGATTTAATTTAAATAAACGATTTATAGAAATATTATCTTGTCGTTGTAAATAAAATATATTCATTAATTGACAATTACATTGTAATTTTATTTGATTATCTTGTATTATTTGTAAATATGGATAATTAATTAATATACAATTATCTAATGGTGATAATTGTGTATGTTTAATATTTATTGATAAACGTTGTAAATTTTCAATACCACAAAAAGCATTTTTATCAATATAATCTAATGGATTATCAGTTAATGTTAAATGACGTAGTTTAGGTACATATTCAAATGTATATTCATCAATTGTTTCAATTAAATTTGAACTTAAATCAATATCATCAATTGTATTTGATTGTAAATTATTAATTGATTTTAATTGATTATGTTCAAATAGAATATATTTTAAATTAGGTAATTTTCTTAATGAATATATTAATTCTTGTGTATGAAATATATTTGGTAAATGACGTATAAGTAAACGTTCAAGTGATATTAAATATTCAATTGGTAATAAACTATATTGATGTGTATTTGTTAAACTTAAATATTGTAAATATTGTCCAATAGCTTGTATATCATAATAACGATAATTATCAATATAAATATTAATTAATTCTAAACGATGTAAATATGGTAATTGTCTTAATAATAATTCAAAATTTAATTTTTGTTTTTGTTGATAACGTATATTTTTTAATATTAATGATTTTAATTTATAAAATGAATTTATTGAAAATATATCTTGAAAATTTTCATTAAATGTTTTTAATAATAAAATAGTTGAATTTTCAAGAAGAAATTTTTCTAATTGTTTTATATTTAAAAATGTTTGTTCATTTATATTCAATAAATTACAATGACGTATACGTAAAATTTTTATTGTTAAATTATTAAATGTTTGATTGAAAAAATTTAAATCATTTAAACATGAATCTAATTCAATTGTATGATAAGATAAATTTATATATAAATTTGGTATTATTGATAAATTTATACATTTTAATGATATTAATGATTGTTCATTATTATATGTATGATCTTCACATTCACATGATTGTGAATGTAATGAATAATATTTTGAACAAATTGATGATAATGATATATGAATATTAAATAGAATAAGAAGAAATATGAAGAAATAATTAGATTTTAAATACATCTAAAATTAGTATTCATAATTAGTTATGCTTTCTTTTTTTTGTTGTCGGAACAGCTAGAAATAGATTTTCATAAAGTTATGAATATTCTGTAAAGACTCGTAGCGTTTATTATTATGGAGATATTACATTTTTTTAAGTCAATGCTGTATCACTATAAACTATTTCTACTAAAGCCTGTCTCTATGCAAATTTTCAAGTCGAAATTCGAAAATGAGTTGTCCTGAGGAGTGTCGTAGCATTGACTTAATAAAGTACAGAACTAAGCATCCGAATATTCATAGTTCATTTAGATCTACATTAATACATATAGTCTCGTCTCATAAGCAATTAACCAATCTGAGAACTTCCCTGGTGTGAGACCAAAAATTAGCACAACTGGTCTTATTTGTGTCTAATGAATATGTAAGAAAGAAGAGTTAACCGACTAAATGAGTCACAGTTAGAAATGTACCAAGGCCAACTTCCAGTCTCGGTGACCAGAACTAAGATTATGGACGCGAGAAGTTGGCCAGATCAAGACTCGGACTGCGAGAAAAGCTATTAGCGCACTCTCTGCGGGATTAAAATATGAAACACGATGTAACTGCTGTTGCTAATTGCAGAGAGATTGTTTTATTCTATCTATTTAAGGACATATTTCTTCATTATCCTTCTCTAGAAATACAATAAGTAGTAATATTATTCATGTATAGTCTTTGACTATATATCAACGCTTGTCACGATCTGTAGAGAGAATCGAAATTTTTATC